GGCTTGTGGGGGACTATTGCTCATGTGGAACAAACAACTTGAGAGAGAACAGACGCCTGAGATGTGCAGCGAGAGGTGGAACAGGTCTCTGAAGAACATGCTGGGACTGATATTTCCGACAAGTTTTCAACTTTGGAATTTTTGTGGGCGCCAAGACCGAGATTTCGGCTAATTAGCCGGGAGGACTTCTTCTGTCGATGAGTCAACGGCACTCCCCAGCGCCCTGGACGTCACGAAAGAAGTTGGGCTAAGCTACTATACAGCAATCACGCTCTGTCAAGACTTTTCTGAAATTTCAGCACGACCTTCGGGAAGGAGTTGGAAGGAGGCTAGAAAGGCAGAGTATGAATTCTCCGAGGTACCCACAAGTCTGCAGCGCCCAGCTGGCCGGCCTCTTCGAACTCTTCGGAAGGGGCACTATGTCTTCGGATCTAGCCCTAATGTCGGTATTAGGAGAGCCCCGCACCCAGTGGATTTTTGGGATTTTTCCCGGCTGCCATACACCCGCAAAACGGCCATCGTTTCGTTGGCTGGAGAGGAGTGGTAATGAAGGGCAAAGGGCTCCTCTTAGTGTATGATCGAATGAGGACTTGTGAGGGGTAGTACTGTCTGAGGGGAGCTGTATGGGAGGCATAGGATGGGATATACTACTGGCATAGATATCCTTAACCTGTAGGCAGAGAAAATCTGCATGTCCTACATATTCATAGACTCAGACAGGACAATAAAACGAATAAATAATCATAATAATAACAGGTCCCAAAGCAGTATTACAGCTCAGATAAGAATGGAGCACATTGGTCTCAATTCTTATCTGTATCGAAGGAAAGTCACCGGAGCGATTAATCCAAAGTGTCAAATATATGGTCTTGGCGTTTCCTCAGTTGGCAATGGGAAGAGTAGGGATGCTTCGAAAGGCAGAAGATAGGTTGTTTGCGGCAATGATGAACAGCCCAGATGACATAGAGAGATTCTTAAATTGGATCCTGGCAAAAAGCTGGAATGAACAATTCCGGCTTGCAGGAGAAGTAGAAATATCATTGGACGAAAAGATGAGACGATTTGGACAAGGATTAGACGGAATTCACACTGTATGAATAGTGTTAACGCACTTCCTGTAGGAAACCTCAGAAAACCAATAAACACGAGACAGACAGTTGCGGGGGGTTTTTATCGAATTTGGTTTCCTCCTGTGTAAAGATTACAGCTAGAAATACCTGAACGGGCTAAATGAAATCAAATCAAATGAGATGAGATGATTGATTTACACTAAGGACGCTATACTGTAACTGTGCTTCCTGAAGGATACATTAGAAAACTAAGACAATAAAGAGGAAGGTTTGGAATTTTTACAGGGTTTCCTCCCATGTAAATATTTTAGTTCACAGACTCCTACATAGGCCCACATTGCGCCAAATCAGGATAATAAAATCAAATTTGTTAGATGATGATGATGATGATCTTTATTTTACGTCTAGCGAGCCACGCGCTTGAGGTGTGGCCCTATTAAGTCCCTACTGAGACAAAAGACGCCAGAGTCTAATCCCTGAGCTTCTACATATTTGAAAGGAAAGGAAAGGAAAGGAAAGGAAAAAAAACCAATACGAGACTTTATATAGATAGAAAGTGCATTTACATAGCTACTTCCCGCAGATTGCTAAGTTCTTATGTGGTTATGTAATGACTGCTCGGCGCCATCCACTGCGTAGGTTAGTCTACATTCCCTGTTGACCTCCACTGCCGAAAAAATAAAATTTGTTGCTCCATTGAGTTACTTATCTTTCTTTTTTAGCTAGCTCGCTTTAGGCATCCATTGAATCTCCAAGGTGTTTTATGGGCATATCTCTGTAAAGAATCGAGTTTCTTATAGCCATTCCCCGAATTTTCGCCCCCCTTCATGTGTACCAAGAATGAACGAGATCATCTTTGAAGGTGGACCTTGCATGAGACGTGATCTTCTTTTCCCTATGTGGCAGAAGAAAAAATGTAGTGGGGCCTTTCTACGGCCACATCGGCAGTATTTTGGTGCATTCTCGTGGTTGAAGCGCTCGTGTTAGTTGGCGAAATCGCCATGTCTAGATCTAGCTGCTAGGATACGGCCTAGAGTGGCACGCGAGAGGGTAAGTTCTTTAGGCCTAGAGGGAGCTGATATAATTCCTAGTTTCTCATGGCTTATGTGCTGGGGAAGATGATTTCTCCATAGTCTGCCAGTGGCTTGCGTTGTGGACTCATTTGCCCAGCGCTTCAGACCAGCATATGAGAAAAATGGGTCATCTGAAGTTGGAAAATTGCAGCCATCTTTCGCGGCTTTATCGGCAGCTTCATTTCCAATTATGGATGTGTGGCTCGGAACCCATCGAACCCGTATTTGGCCCCGTCTAGTGTGGGCAAGCCGAGAGCGTTCTTGCCACTTGGGTGTCAATATGAGGAACTCATCAAATTGCGCTTATGAGGACCTTGAAAAGTGAGACAATAGTCGAGTGGCAACCTCTAAGTTATCTAGACAAATCCAGAGGTCTGTAGCGAATTTAGCAGTTGGGAGTGCTAGTGCAGATTTTGCCCCTTCTAGGCCGCCTTTCACTTCCGCATCAAAAACTTCGACACCCTTTCCAAGAGCGATACTCTTATGTAGAGCTTGTACACAATCTTGGTAGCCGATGAAGCCAGCGCCTCCCAGGCCATTTAGTTGCTTCGAGCCGTCTGAGTAGATAATTATATCTCCAAAGGGGATAGTATGGAGGAAATCAAGGAAGACTTGTCTGTTTTCATCTGCAGAGCCACTGTTCGGTCCAGCCACCCGGGAGTGTGCGGCTTCTGGGCACTCACGTGGATTCCAGGGAGGCATGACAATTGAATTGATTTGCTCTGATTTTGGAAGAGACAATACACGCCGAGCAAAACGAGAGGTAGGACGCTGTAAACTGAGAACTCTGTTAGCTCGGCGTAAGAGCGGATGTCGAGGATCTAGACGGCGTAGTCGGACTGTAGCTATAAGCACACGGCCATCGAGAGCTATTTCCGGTTGCTGTAACCCTGATTCACGGTGTAGGATCGCTGTTGGTGTGGTGCAATACACTGGAAGTGTTGCACGGGCGGAAGTGAGTACAACCTTTGAAAGCTGCTGTAGTAGAGAGTCTACACGGTTTGATATGCGTGCTTTGGGACCTTCTCTAGATCTACCTGGCCACCAGGTTTCTGAGGCGTAATATGCAATGGGGAGGACACATGCATCAACTGCATGACGCAGTAAATGAGGTGGAGCCCCTCTTGTCGTGTTTCCAAGGGATAAAAGAGCATTGCTAACCTTGGGGGCCTTTGAGGCAAGGGTTCGGGCATGCCACTTAAAGGAGAGCTTTTTATTAAAGAGTACTCCGAGCCAGCGAGTTTATGGGCGTGCAGTATTTTCAGAGACAGTGATAGGGCCAGCCCTTACCATGGGAGTATTTCTTGGCTGTTGGTCACATCGGCGGCGAGAGAAGTGTTGGAGCTCGTACTTGTCTGCGTCAAATTTTAAGCCTTGCCCTAAGCCCTATTGAATTGCTTCTTGGAGGTTCCGTGAAAGATTTTCTGCATTTTCTTGGAGGGATTAGGAGGTATGAAGGAAGGCAAATTTGTTAGAATTTAGAATAATTGGGGATATCAAGTAGGCCACGTCGTTGGTACACACATGACAAAAAATTCTGTACTTTGTCGGGATAATTCATCTAGATGGAGTTATTTGGAGTCGGTGTTTGTTGCATTGCATTGGCTAAGTCTCTTTATGTGTGGATTCTGACATTCGGATAAAGCATTATCCGAATGTAGGCTAGATAGCAATTCCATAGCATCAACTCAGCAGATAACAAATGAACGAATGAACAATGAATGCTCATTTCTTCTGAACGATAGTTCGAAATACTTACACAAGTATTCTCATAACTTTAAATGAACTAATAGACTTTTAGTGTATGACCTTTGTCATACTGTTATGATATGGAAACACACTAGTCTTACTGTGGACAGTCAAGGGTATGCACGATAATATTGGGCTCAACATTACAAGGAAAGAGCACTGAGAGACTGGCTAGACCACCGTAGCGCAGAATACATTATTTTTCCCTAGTACGTAGTTAGTAGGATACATAGTTCACACACACACCCCTGTCATTAGTACTATTACACACACCTGCATTCATATATCCACTTACTCTTATATTATCTTTCTCCATTTATTACGTGAGTAACTCATCGCATCTCTTAGAACCCACACGCGTGCTGTAGCCAGAACGTCAACTCAAGTATCACATTTATACCCCGTAAAGTATAACCATAATACATACCAACATACTTAGTTTCTCTTCGGTAGTTACTTGAATCAATGCGCTCTACATCCCACATGTATACATAGCACCGGTCATGTGTCATAGCTAGATAGCTGAATACACATTAAATGAATTTATAAAAATGCGCTCTACAACCTCAATGACTGAGGGTCATTATTTCCTTAATAAAATTATAAATTACATATCAAAAAAGTTAAAGGCATTTACCAGAAGTATAGTTTTATTATCACTTTTACCCTTCAATAAAAATAGAATCACTATAATTACTAAAGATAAGTCATTCTCGTGTCCTTGTGAGTTGATGACTCCTTTCAGCCAGAAGTCGCATTAATCTTAGGCTAACTAGTATGACATCAGCACTTTTGCCAAAACCGTCGTGCGAGTTCAGAAGTTTGTAAATTTCGTATTCATGATTAAATTCCACCTACAGTGAAGAGCGTTGGATACCCATCTCATCAGCATATAGTTACTAGTATACGTGTGCTATCTACAGCCATACAGTATACTATGATACAATTTCCACCTATGGACAATTTCTCAATTTTTTTCCCATGAATAATAGCCAGTAATGCAGTTTATTTTCGACGTGCTTCTAAGATTTTGTTGTTGCTTATTCTAGCTAGAGAATTTGTAATTTGCGAATGAAGATCGAACCAGTAGAAACTGTTTTTCATTTGGTCAAAAGCGTATCCTACCTCTGATATCCTCGATAGTTTTGTCCAATGCCTTGATCATTCCTCTGTACAGAGGTCCATAGTCTTTAGGTGTTCTAATGTACCGACCGTCATCTTTAAAGAGTGTTTTTCGTAGTTTCTTAAGCCCTTGGAGACTGATCGTGAACTTTTCGAGGAGCTTTTGAAATACTATGACATATAATTCTTTCAACTCGACATCGTTCTTGAACTATTTATTCAGATAACAACCGGTAGACCCAGACACCCTTTCATGTTCTATGCATCCTACAATGAACACATAGAAAAATGATTCGAGATCATGGCGACAAGTGTGTCCGATGGTCTTCCTTTGATCAAACTCCGGTCTCTCTAGTGCCATAAACTTCGTGGTGCCCGTTAAAAAAACATTTTCCAGAGGTAAATTTCCTTTCATATTAACGGAGTGATCTAGGTCTACCAGTATGCCGTGTAAGCTATTGTCTTTCTTTGGCTTCAACCGAATTATATTTCCTTCAGAAACGTCCCCACGAAAGATTCCTATACAAAGGCTCTCATGTTAAAGTTTAAGGAATTCAGATGTACTTGAAAGTTTATAGCTCAATTCCTATTCAGTTATCGACTTTCAAGTACATCTGAATTCCTTAAACCTTAACACGTAATTTATCCTTTGGAAGCTAATCTGCCGCGTCGTCTACCGTCGTTTACGTCCTCTGAGACTAATATTAACTCCCCACATTAGCCACTTGAGAATATTCCTCTCTCCCAAGCGCAACAAGCCATTATATCCTTCCTTGTGCGGAACCTTTGCATGTCCCTAAGTGCTACTATGTTGAAGCTTAATTTTCTAGATGGAGTGGTTCTAGTGACCAGTCCCAATTCGAGTACAGTCTGTCGCACCTCATAACCCTTGATCACATCTTGAATACCGGCAAAAAATTCAAGAATCGACTCGCCGGAGTAAGCCGCTCGGCCACGTTGTGTCATCGCTATCCTGGTTAGTCGGCAGTTTCTCTCCAAGGATCGAATTAGTGGTTCCTTGATGCTATTGCCCTTGGAGATAAACTTGTCTCCAGCTCATAAGTCCCAAGACAGGCCACGGGAAATATCTATAGTACCCAGGAGACCTTTTGTCTCATAAATCACTTTTGGTTCATCCTTAGTTTCATAGCAAGTTGTACCTCGAAATATCAGTCTCATAGGTTGTACTATAAGCTCAAACTTGATCTCGTATGAACTTGGAACCTCTCCACTTCCTGGAAACTGGACAAATTTATCTTCCCCATTATGGAGGATAGACCTACAGCGACAAAGTTCTTCTTTTCTCATTATAAAATACGAGTTGGTTGCTCGAATCAACATTCCATTGTCGTAACCAGTACACCTTAATCACATACCACAGGCGCCCGAGCTGTCAAATTCTTCTCGAAACAAAAACTATGTAAAAACTGATATAAAGGCTGAGCGCAAAATACCTTTTTAAAAGACCATGATAATCATAGAAACTTTCCTCTCCTCTCGTCTCCACCAGATGATATGGTTAACCCACTCAGCAAATTTATATTTTCCCAATTAACATGAGCTTATTTTGGCAAATCGATACTTTTGTTAAGGAGATCAATTTGGGTCTTGCCCATCAATATTATCGCACGCTTCATACAATTCGAGCGACAATACTGTTCTTTAGTCTGAAAGTAAGGGCCTAACATGATAATTTTATAATTTGTGACATTGTTATGTAGGGCGTTAGACTTGGCTTAAGGATTTATGCTTATAAAATTTGGGTCAATCCAGCACCTCGCTTTCTTTCATATTAACACGGAGAATTTTCTCTTTTTTAATTTTATGCAGATTCTTCCGTTGAGGAATATCTTTTGACTTCTTCAACTTCACGAATTATTTTGTTCTTTCCTCCTCAGAATTCTCATAATTTCGGTAGCTTTCCCAATCTTATTTTGGAAGAAAACTTACCAGAAATTAGCGATTTGATAGAATACGTTGTTATCAGGCACGGCTTTCATGAAATTTACCGACTCTTTGGCCGTCCTGCCAAATTATTATACTATTGAAATATTTTTTGTAAATGTCGTTTTACTTTTTGACAGGTCTAATTTCGATCAACCTATCGATTTCCCTTTAGGTGCACAGACGGATAAATTTAAGATATTTCGCTAGTTTTTGTTGTCGAGAGTGATTGTTATAGCCCTATCAAAACATTTGAGGCCAGTTTGTTCTTGCTAGATACTAACCAAAGTGTTATCAATAAATTGGCTACTTTATGCTTTTTGTTAATACTCTATGTGTGAGATTTGTAAGAGCCCAGTTGATTATAATATTTATTAAGAACTGTGAAATTAGCTAGAACCCTCTTAGGCAGCCATGGACTATTTACCAAAATCAACAATATACATTTGGTAGTTACTTTTTCGAATTAGGTTCTGGTAAGCCTTATCTAGAATAATTGTTCTATGTTCTAGACTGGTGTTATAATATTTTAAGGGTTGAAGTCGAGATTGTGAGTTATTTCAGTTTGGTGTAGGTTTTTTTTTGTTTGTTTATATTAAAGTCGTGCTAGTGTGAGATATTGGATTGATGCCTGAGCGTGTCGCATAGTAAGCAGGCATGTTACTCAAGTAGCAATGCGTATGGTAAATCTCAATCCCAAAACAATTATACGAATTGAGTAACAGGGGCTAGATCCTGTATAGCTAGCGTAGATGGAACGTGGTGGATTTTCCTGTAGATAGATGAAGATTTTGTAGCCGTCTGATGGCTGGGAAAAGTCTTCTACTGAGAAGTATCAGAATAAATCTTAGCCTGTCATTAAGTAATCTCATGAATATATTTCCGTGTCTGTGATAAGAGAAAAATGTAATAGATCAGCCTATAAGCCGATCTATGAATATGATCGCATATCTTTATTTGAGATGTGTCAGAATCGATAATTACTTCAAAACTCCGCGATTATGGCCTTAACAAAGTTCTCGGTATGGTAAGCTAAGAGCTCTCTGCGTTGGCACATGTTGTAAAAAAAGGTTGTGAGTTGATTGACGTGGAAGAATTGGATATGGGGAGTGGCTTGAGTTTGAGAAGTGGGGTTCAATCGCGACTTTATAGAGATGGACATCACATGATTCTTATGTCAGTTGTCACTTTCTTTTTATCATGCTGCGCACTAATACATCAAACTCCGCCAGCCTCATTTTCTTCCTGGGCAGGTGGAAGAGGAAAGCTGAACATCTGTCAGTGGTGTCCTCCACGAATCTGAGTGTAATACATTCTTCCAAAGCTGAGATCTAGACACAACAAAAGGTGTATCCGTGACTTTTCGTCGAGATGGCTAGAGGGAGGAGTGTCGTCGACAAGTTTTTGGTCCAAAATTCGGCCTGCTGAGATTTCACGATGCACAACTCATTGAAACTAACTATCAACACCACTGGGCTGGATGGTGCGGTGGTAAACCTTTCGGGCCATTCTCAGAAGTAGATTCTAGATAGCTTGAACACCCACCCCGTTTGAGACAGGAGAAAGCTTGTTCGAGTCCAGTAAGACCTACACACCAGCCTCTCTCGCGGTGATATTGTAGTTGTGGGATGATAAAAGCACACTCGAATAACGACAGGGTTTTCACGCTTTTCCCTATGATGGGTATGCACGGAAGAGGTTATACACCGTAAGGGTTAACATCGAATGGTATTTGCAAATGAAATCTGAGTGTGAGTGTTTTAAAGGTCAAACTGAGTCATCCTCCTTAAAGTGTCAAGGAAAGAAGCTTAGATAATGTCACGTGAGATCGTCTATTTGGACAAGTGTACTGCTTTATATATGTATTAGTTTTGTATCTATAAGGATTCTTTCTCTCTTCGTAGACAATCTAATCCACCAGATCTGACATCGTCGATCAACCTCCCATTCCCGTGACATATTGTCTACCTTACACATCTATCCCATCAGCTAGATCTGACATCGTCGATCTATCAATATCCCTCCTCGTGGTACATTGTACAGTGACTCTAACCCCTCACATCGACACACAAAAAAAAAAGATTTAAAAAATTAAAAAATTTCTTTATACACTCCCAGTTGCCAAGATGGAAAATAATCCTTGGGATCTTGAAAGCACTGGTATTCCACGATACCAACAAAAAGCATCTGTGGTAGAAAGGTTTAAGGATCGTGACGCAGAATTTGTAAAAAGATATCCTCTCCTTTGCTCCGTTCCCAGCCCCCATCTAATCCTCCTCAGAATGCGCACTCTATTCATCGATCAGCCGAGCATCCGGATCCTGAACTCTTCTCCGCCGATGATCCTAAGCAACGAAAAGACCTCCCACTATTTATCCGGAAAGTAAATATGAAGCTCAATACCAACGCTGACTGGTACCCATCGGAGCAGAGTAAGATGGTCTATGTTATCTCCCGGCTAAGAGGAAAAGCATACTCGACAATTGCATATGGAATTAAAAGGGATGGCACTGTTCAGTTCCCATCCACCGATGCCATTTTAACTTTGTTGGAACAATCTTTCTCGGATGTAGACGAGATAAATACTGCCAGGCGAGAAATCTTATTAATCAAACAGGGTCACAAAGACACGGCGACACACATCATCGACTGGTTTGAAATCGCACAAAAAACAGGCCTCTCTGACAACGCTCTAATAAATCACCTTTATGATTCATTGCACCTAGAGATAACAACTCAAATCAGAAATCGAGTCATGCTTCGTCAGATCATGCCAACAGACCTCACCTCATACCTTGTCGAGGTCCGACACATCGACGCGGTTCTGCGATCCTCAGACCCGAATTACACTAAGTCTAAGCCAGTCTCCGGAACCTATTTTCCATCCACTCTTCCATCCTCGGCAACAACATCCACTCCAATTGGGGAGCCTATAGATCTCAGCTCAGCTACAACCATTCCAAAAACCACTTGGACCGCTGTCGACGCCGCCACCCACCGCATCCCTCGGACTGAAGCAGAAAAATGTGCTAAGAGAGCATACTGTTTCGAAAACAAGCTGTGTAGCTGGTGCTAAGACCCTGGCCACAGAGCTAGAGTATGCGCCGAAGCACGCTGGAATAAAGATAAGCCAAGGAACGCGGATAAAAAAACTGTGATAGAAGACGGAAAAGCCTAGTCCCTGATAACAGTCGCTATCAGGGACCCGAAGAAAGTAAGTCACAGAAGAATCCAAACGTACCCAATATAGAAGTCAAGTGTATCAACGAGGAGAAAACATCACAATTATTCTCACTTTCAACTCCACACAACGATCACCTGCTACTATCCTGTACTATAGCATCAAATAAAATAAGCTTCCAGACCCTAGCGTTTTTAGACTGCGGTGCTACTGACGAATTCTATGACTTAAACCCTGCGCAAAAAAAAGGCCTCCCCATAAATCCCCTATCACAGCCCCGTCAACTCTATCTAGCGGATGGAAAACTAGCTACCCAAATTACTCATTCAACAACTATTCATCTTGACATCTTTGACCACAAAGAAACCATCACATTATTCCTCACAAATATTGGCAAATATGACCTTATTCTTGGACGTAAATGGCTCAGAAAGCACAACCCTGCTATTGACTGGTCAAAGGACGTCGTAAATCTTAATTCGTACTATTGTAAAGAAAATTGCCTCCCTGCCCAACTCGACCACATAACTATAACCAGTAAAGAGCAAGGCAACGGACGACCAAGGAAGATTGGAGCTGCAGCTTTCCAGACACTGTCAAAACAAAAAGGTGTTGAGATATTTTCATTATCCCTGTACGAGGTTGATACAAGACTCAAAGAAGTGGGAGCTACCTCTACCCCCTCGCCAACAATTCAACCGCCATTTCAAACACCAACAAATCTCACTCCTATCCAAAAAATGCAACAAGAGCTGTGCTGCCAAATGGAAGACTTCCCTAACAATTCGCAAAGGCAAAAAACAGCCACCGACATGCACTTATCTGGCTTCTCCCTAGAAGACATTCAAATCGCTCTCCAAACTAAAGATCATCCCGACCCTTCCAAAAAACTCCCTCTTCATTACCATCAACACCTAGCAGTTTTCGATCACAAGGGTGCAGACACACTCCCACCACACCGGTCCTGTGACCACAAAATCGAACTCAAACCTGGCACAACACCACCTCATGGCCCCTTATACAACATGTCCATTGAAGAACTCAAAGTACTGCGGAAATACTTTAATGAACAACTGGATAAAGGCTTCATACGCGCCAGCAGATCCCCAGCAGCAGCGCCAGTACTCTTTGCCAAAAAACCAGGAGGTGGTCTCCGTTTCTGTGTTGACTACCGCGGCTTGAACGCCATTACAATCAATAACCGGTATTCCCTCCC